TTTAGGGTTTTGGGTTTAGGGTGATGCATGCTTTCTACATGTAGTTGGAGGTTTGGTCTCTGGCCCTAGCTACGACTGTATGTGTGGGTGTTACCATGTATTGTCTGTATACATGTCATATGTGCACCTAATTACAGGCTTATATGTACATGTATGCATGTGATGTCCTCGTTGTCCGTCATCTCTGGATGTGGCCACCACCAGTCCTTTCCCAGCTCCTTCTTGCGCTCGCGGATGGCCTTCGCCGCTGCGCTTCCGTAGAGCATCTTGAGGTCCTTTAGGGACCCAAACAGCACATAGGGTTATCCCTACCTTATTGGGCTTCAGCATAAGGGGATTTATATATATATGGGATATCCGGATCCTATAATTAATGTTTGCTTATGTGCTTTTTGGGGAAACCCTAAATCCCAAAAGTCCCTTAACCCAAAACCCCAAAAATCCCTAAACCCTAAACCCCAAAGCCCTAAACCCTAAACCCCAAAGCCCTAAACCCTAAACCCCAAAACCCTAAACCCTAGAAACCCCTAAGCCCTCAAGGAAAACCCTAAAAACTCCAAAACCCTAGAGGCCCTATCCTTGTACGTCCGCATCACGTACTTGCCTCTGCGCCTCTGCGTCCGTGCCAAGCTGCTGTTGAAGACGATCGACGAGTCACCCCAGTTCTCCGCAGCCTGGACCCACTCGTCGAACAACCGTGCAATCACTGCACGATCTTAGATGTCAAGGCTTCAAGCCAAACTTAAAGATCGGAACTCCCAGTAATAAGAGAAACAAACGGTAGGCCTTACTCATGATCCTGGCCAGGCAGCTGTACTTCTTGCCCTTGGCGGCCTCCAGCACGGGCTGGGGGCAGAGCGGGCCTTGGACACGGCTTGGGTTTGGATAACTACAGGCATCACAGGGTTGATAGTTTAATATGTTTAGGTGGCATTGGGACTACCGAATATATAATTATATATATATATATACGAATTTTTAGGGCCCCTTACATTAGGCCGCTTGGGTTCAGGTGCAGGGCTTTGAAATCGTGGTGCTGGTTCCGGGTTTAGGGTTTAGGGTNNTTTAGGGTTTTAGGGGGTTTAGGGGGGTTTAGGGGGGTTTAGGTGGGTTTATGTTTGATCATGGGCTCTGTAAGAGAGATGTAGATGGCTGTGTAGCATACATATAGACGGGTTGCATGTTCTGTTTCAGGTGTTTAGCCAGCTTACAACATGTGACAGCTAAGCATCATCCATCATTAGGCAGATCCAGGTTAAATTGAAGACGATGAGCTATACTTCTAGAACTGCTCAATCATGAATTTCCCAAAGGCACTGTCGAAACTCCGGTTGAACCGCATCCTCATGTTGTGCGAGAGCCTTCGGTCGCGCTCGTCCGGGGTCTCGTAGGTGCCATCATTGCGTTGCAGCAGCAAGCCGTGCTGCATCATCTCGTTGATCTTCTCTGCCTGTACGACCACTTCAGGTTCGGGGTGTTCGTGCAGTACCTACGACTTAGCTGGTTATATCATCGTGACTATAGTATTCGCACCTTCTACCTTAAACCCTAATGCCTCAAACCTTAATTCCCTCAGCCCGGATACTTTGAAAACCTAAGATCCTGGGCTCCTGGAGACGCACAAAGCCCCCACAGCCGCTGCATCCCTGAATCAAAACAAGTGTATGGAAGGACTTCCGGCTGAAGACATGAAGCCCGGGTAATGGTTCAGGGTTTAAGGTTTAGGGTTTGGGGTTGGGGTTTAGGGTTTGGGTTTAGGGTTTAGGGGGTTATATATATATATATATTTATTTATTTATTATATAGTAAGCCTTATAAGACACCTAATACAATGCAATGGCCAGTAAGCGCTCAGGGTGTAAAGTTTAGGGTTTTGGGTTGCGGTTTAGGGTTTAGGGTTTTAGGCTTTCAGGTTGTACACAACATATATATATATATATATAGGTTAACCTTAACAGTAAGACACCTAATACAATGCAATGGCCAGTAAGGGTTCAGGCTTTAAAGTTTAGGGTTTAGGGTTTTAGGGTTTGGGGTTGTACCATTATAAGTAAGACACCTAATACAATGCAATGGCCAGTAAGGGTTCAGGGTTTAAAGTTTAGGGTTTGGGGGCTGGGGTTTAGGGTTTAGGGTTTTCAAGTTATAATATAGTAAGCTTATTATAAGTAAGACACCTAATACAATGGAATGGCCAGTCAGGGCTGTGCTTCCGAGAGATGGTAGGTCATGCTGCACAGTGCCGTATTATAAATAATATTGGATGTGCACATGTTCACTTGTGGGGCGATGAATATGTACAACACTGCTAGCAAGCAGTCGTCAGTGGCAGCAGCACCACACTGGTCTTGGGTGTGTGCATTATATGTATGTAGATATCAACATATATTTGTGTATACATGTATTTTCATATAGGTGTGGTGTCTGTAGCCCAACATGACACACAAATAATATTGTCCATGTCAGCCTAACAATCGAGTATAATAGTTGTAATTTAATATTATTCTGTGCATCATAAGCCCTCAGAGCCTCCATCATCGTGGTGTCCAGGCGCTGGAGCCCCGTGCGCGTGAGCTCCAGCTCAAGCTCTACCGTCCGATCAGGCTTGGGCGGGGGCAACATGCCACGCTCACGTGGTGGCTCCTCACAGAGACATATATGTGTACACATATATGTAGATATACTGGTCAGGGAGACGGTTAAGGGTTTAGGGTTTAGGGTTTAGGGTTTAGGGTTGAGTTGAAGCACTCACATGAAGAGCTAAGCCTGACATTGGTAACGACCGTGTGAAACCCAGGTAGTACATCTAATGCTTGGAAGTACGACCGTCGTCAATCGATATTTAAAGACCCATAAATCCTTGCGGGCATCAGCTGCGGGGGCATCGGGAGGGCCTTTGGAGTCGACATCCATGACCATCGAGGGTTCGCCTGTGCCCCCTCCGGAAGAGGCATCCACACCAGTCAGCTGCAAAGCTGACATATGAATCTCAACCTCCTTCAACATCTGCTGCACCAGCTCGTCCTCGGATTTGGGGCGGTCACGATCATACTGCCCAAAAGCAGTCTCCAAAACCTGCTGGACAGCCTTTTCCAGGCGCTGCACACAAATCTGCTGTTGGTCACTGGCCAGCTGGATGTCCTTCATGCCCTCCTCTTGCAGCGACTTTTTCCACGACGCCATTCTCTGGGTCACGGCCGAGCTGCTGGACATGCTCTTAGCCTGTCCAGCATGCTGGACGACGGAAGCCAAGGCCTTCGCCACCGCCTGCTCTGCATGAGCCATTTTTGCAGCCAGCTGCTCCTTCAGTGTTGCCACCTTGAGAGCCACATCCTTGATGGCTGCATAGGCTTCCAGGCAGTCAGATGCCGGCAGACACATCTCAGCAGTCCCTTGCATGTGAGTGAACTCAACATTCTCAGCCTCCAAGACCCAGTCCATCACGATGTCACAAAGGGCTTTGCGCTCATTGGGATCATCCTTTGAAGCCCCATCTGCAAAGGCACGAACCAGCTGGTTGCCGAGCTCCATGACCGACTCCTCGAACGTGGCCTGCTGCTTCATCGGGGTCTCTCCAATCACGTCCCGGATGTTAGAGAGGCTGCGTCCCCAGCTCAATGTCGTCATGCTGTCAAGGCTTCTGAAGGGCTCCACACCAGCTGCTGGTTCTGCTGCGGTCTGCTCCATGGGTCCTTTTCCATGCTCCACACCAGCTGCTGGTTCTGCTGCGGTCTGCTTGGGTCCTTTTCCATGCT